GAGGCCAACTCTGAATGGATTATAGGAAAAATGTTACTACATCACCTTGTCCCCACGCCTACTTGTTCACCTTGTCCTGTTGGCATCAGGAGGAGAAGCCAAACAAACCTTTCTCTGAAGTAAAATGTAAGTGATGCATTAACATCTGCTCTGTAATTATAATTAACCTCATATAATCCATACATTTGAACTAAGCAAACTTTACACAGGTCAGTTTAACCCGATGCATTCAAATCTGCTGTTATTAATATGAACGAATGAATGTTTTATTTTGGTCATTCATTAAAGAATAACAAGACTCAAAAATATTGTGTAAATAGTCCACTTACAGAAATAGAAACGTAAACAAATATAAAATATATTTTTATACAGTAAGGAATTAAAAACTTAATGTCTGTTGCATTTCAGTTGGCAGCAGCGTAAGTGGAAAAAGGATCGACAACCAGGTTGCAACTTGTTGACTAGTTGAAACAGGAATGTAACACACACACACACCAAGACCAACAAAATGGATTTTTAATGCCAAATTTACAAATGCTTTCACACTGTATGTCAGAACAGATAACATCATGCGGTTAACCTAACTTATAGGCTAAAGTGAACAGCTGTTCAGATTGTAGATTGAAACAACAAATATATCCTGAGTGAAAACTGCTGATTGAAGTTATGCAATAACAAGTAAACGCACTCAGGTGTTGAGTTCTTTCAATCGCATAACCATATGATATACAGTAAAAAAGGACATCTTTGGACTGACTTTGTGTGGAAAGAACAATACAGAGCAACATAAGACAGTAAATACAATGCCTGCACGAGGGAGAGGAAGATGAGTACCAGGACAAGGGAGAGATGTGTTTTATGTGTTGTCCTTATGTTGGTGCTTTAAGAGTTTAGGAGAATTGTTATATTGATCGTAAAAAACTGTAGGCAAAGAGAAAAAATTAGCTTTCCTCGCAGCCTCCTCATCTCAAAACTGTCCAGATTGAATTTTTCTCCAAGAACACCGGCATGGATGTCATCATATCTTTCTGATAGGTCGCAGTGTGTTAAAGTTGGAAAGTATTGTCAAACTATCTGAAGTGTACAATGGATGTGCCTCTGAACCTCAACATCAGCAAAAGGGAAGGGAATGTTTTTCTCCATGTCGATGCTGACATTTAATTAAGGCTGAGAAGATTGACATAGTAAACAAATTTAAATAGCTTGTGTAATGCTTGATTCAAATCTCAATTTTAATTTGCATGTGCTAAAAATGCAAAAAATTTTAAGTACAATTTGGCAAATTTTAGGCATATTAGAGGCCGTCTCTAAAATTAAGCTGCCAAGGCGTTCATGCATGCTATGATTCTTTCCCATATGTCATATTGTATCACATGTTGGGGGCAAGCTGAAGAAACAGTCATTAAACCTCTGGAGTCTCTGTACAAAAAAACCTGAAAAGTTTATGACAAATAATCTATGCAAAATCATCATTGCAGGATCTTGGAGAAGCATCATCTTTTGAGTTTTGAGAACTTTAAGCTGTTTTCTTATTTGTGTCTTATGTATAAAATTGTAAATGATTTGGCACCACCGCCATTACGTCAATTTATTCACTTTCGCTCATCGGAGTCAATAAAATCTACAACAATATCTTCTACAGCAGATTGTTTTCATTTGTCAAGTCAAAAAAAAAAGAAAAAGTGACACACGTCAACTAGACTGCTGATTAAAACCTGTTACCTCTCCTCTTGGACCAATCAGAGAGTAGCTCTGTAATCAGTGCTTCAGGTGTGATTAATCTCACCTCACAGAGGCTGTACGAAACTGCGTACTATACTACTAGTACGTACTGATTTGGCCAAAATGCAGTATGCCAAAAATACCAGGATGTCATACTGATTCGGGAAAAATTTACAGTATGCATCGGACCAGTCTACCTCGCGTACTCTTTCCCACAATGCAAAATGCCAGGTCAGAGATTAAAATGCCGGAGTGCAGCTGTTTGAACTCGTCGGTGGCGGTGACTGAATATCTTGCCACATTATGAACCAATAACAAATATGACATGTTCATATATTTACCACCTCCGGTTTTCCTTCTTTTTAGACTGTGCAGTGCATGTGCCACAGCTGGACAAGCAACTGCAATTACAGGGTCCTTGGCTTTGTTCGATTACTACATATTATTCACAGCTGAGTAAAAGTTAAACCTGAGTGTCTGAAAACTATACTACAATTTCAATAGCATGCCAATCATATTTCAACCCAGGGCATTGTGTATTTAATGACAGAACATATGAGAGATTGTAGACTTGTTTTATTTTAATATGTTAATTACCTCCAGATGGACTGTTGTTTACTTCCGCATTCTAGGACCAGAAACCAGTTTAACCGTGCCAAGCATACTGCAAAATAACCGACGACTGGCAGTCATACTACATACTACTGTTGAACTCAGTATGCAGTACACAGTATATTCTGCATACTGATTTAAATAGTAGTATGTAGTACGCGGTTTCGAAAACAGCCTCACTCGAGCAGGACTGGAATAAAAAAAAAAGAAACCAAACTTCCCTCTTAAGTCCAAACAAAGCAGACATGTCAAAGAATACATCATGTAAAATTCAGCCGTCTCTGAATTCACAAATAAGTTTGAGTCATTTCAAAGTTTTATTAACTTAAGCACATTTACACACACTCATGAGCGAGAGGAATGGGCTTCTTCCTTTCGGCTTCTTAACGATCTGCCTGCAGGTCAGAGTGTAACCTGTGGAGCTAAACAATCATCTGTCCTACGTCACCTCAAGGGGGCAGCAGTAAGTCCATGAAGCTGCAGAGGTGAACTACAACTCAGTGTGGAAAACGACACCTGAACACACCTTTTAAACACTGTGTGTGTGTGTGTGTGTGTGTGTGTGTGTGTGTGTGTGTGTGTGTGTGTGTGTGTGTGTGTGCGCCCTGCAGTCTGTCTCACGGTTTACTTTCAGACAACAATAGGCCCAACAATCCTTTGACTGACCTTTGACCTCAGGTATGTGTGTGTTTCTATGCGTGTGGCTCTAAAAGCTTTGAGTTTCTGCTGAACAAATGCACTACATATAAATAAATATATCAATATAGTTTTGACTGATTCATAAGAATACAGTTTTTTTTTAATAAAAACAGTCTCGTCATTTAGTCGTCTTTCTGCTGTTGTCACTGTGTCCAGTTATTTTTAGAAATCCTGACAAATGGGTTAGCCCCTCCCCCTTTTTTGCAGTAAAGGGTGGCTTTTTTGTTTCAGTATTGAACAGTGTTATCATATCTCATAATGATCCACAACACGCCTGACCCTGTTAGATTAGTAATGATAATATACAGATGACGACAAACTGCTCCATAATCAAACCTTTACAGCCTTTGCAGGAATAATAAACTGTGAACAATGACGTCCTCTGTCTAAAGGTTGAAATATATATAATCTAATGGTGTGCAAAAGGGTGAGGAGAGGCTGGTTTGTTTTTTTGATTGAGTTCTCGGGAAAGTGGAGGAGTGACGGAGGTGTGGCCATCTTCAGGTGGAATTCCCCTAAACTCACCTGAGCTGCCCCCCCCTTCCTTTAAAGGAGTATAAAGCTCTGCGGGTGTTAAAAGCAGCAACAGGTGCATCTTTAGCTCAGAGAGTTACACACACAACAGGAGGAGATTAAACTGCACACTCTGACACTGAGGATACACACAGCTCTTTGTGTCAGAGCCTATTTTTCTTCGCCATACTGTGGCTCATGCTGTTATCAGGTAAAACATTTTACCTTCATTTTGATTAATGTAATATATACACAAAGAAATATAGAGAAACTCTGATCAACTGACAAACATTTATTAGAAAGGCTCTTCCTTCTCCTTCACAGTTTCTGTAAATTCTTCTGTTCTCAGAGTCTCCATGTCGTCACCGTGCCTCAGCAGTGTCCTGACCTGTGCCAACCTCGCCATGTACCAGACAGGTGATGTCCTGCTGCAGCAGACCAGTGTGCTGCCCAGTAGCAACACCATGCAGACCAGTAACACAAGCCTGCAGACCAGAAACTCAGCATACAGCTCCAGCATGAGAGGTAAGAGAGACCTCGCTGATGCTTCTCAATGGCGTTGCATTCACATCATAATAACTTGTAACACGTGTAACTCTGACATACGATCATAATCTAACATGTGTAACTCTGACATACGATCACACAGTAACACTTGTAACTCTGACATACGATCACACAGTAACACTTGTAACTCTGACATACGATCACACAGTAACACTTGTAACTCTGACATACGATCACACAGTAACACTTGTAACTTTGACATACGATCACACTGTAACACTTGTAACTCTGACATACGATCACACTGTAACAAGTGAAACTCTGACATACGATCATACTGTAACAAGTGAAACTCTGACATACGATCATACTGTAACACGCGTAACTCTGACTTTCCTTTAACTCTTGACTCTGTTTCTGCTAATTTCAGTTCCATGTGTGATCTGTGTTCCAAACCAACTCAAACAGTTGAATTTGTCCTTTTTTGATCCAGTCTGAGTTTCGTGTTAGTTTCACTTGAAGACTAATCCCACAGTAAACATGATCCTTTATTTTGGAATGACAGCCGCACCATTAACACGCTGCACTTTGCTTTGACCTCATTCAGTCTCTGTGAGTTCAATAATTAACCAGCCGGCTAAACTTTAACTCAGTTTAACGGTCAGACTAAAGAATGCAGCCACCGCCGAGATCAAACAGATCCGGCTTTGTTCGTCTCACCTCAGAGACACAAACACAGAGTGAGGATGATGACGAATGGTTTCAGTCTTCTTCAAACGAAGCTGAACATGTTGACATGTTGAAGTCAATGTGAATAAAAACCCAAGAAGAGAGAGGGAATAGAAAGAGAGAGAGACGGACATGAAATCATCTGCACTTCATTAGAACATGTAAGAATATTTAAGATTTATCTGTCCGGTGTCTGCAGCTCAGACAGTTGGTCTATAACCACCCCCCTCTTTCTTCTGTTTGCAGGTCAGTGGTATGGACACCTCAGTCCTCACCACTGGTCCACAGAGAACGTTCTGGACTGGATCAGCGACCATGTAGAGAATTTGAAGTTTGATGCCCAGTCCCTGAGTCTGGCCTGCTGCACCATGGATGGCCCAGCCCTCTGCCAGATGACCCGGGACCAAATGGTTTCAGTGTTCGACTCGCAGCTTGGACTACAGCTGCACCAGAGTCTGCAGGAACACAAGACCAAATATGGTAAAACTACGAGCATATAAATTCAGTATGATCGCGAACATGAAATGTTCCACTTCATGTCCCCCCTCCCCCGACATTACACAGACCCTCATCCAGCCCCACAGTCAGAGAACATTACAGTAATGTGAAGGCTGAATCTATGCATTACATTAACGCTCACTGGACTTTATATTTTCTGTTTACACTGCTTTGGACTGAAAATCTTGCACATGTACAGTATCTTTTGATATTTTCATGTTATATCATAATTTCTAATAGCCGTTATATATATATATTTTTTTTTATTAATACTTGTTTTTTCTTTGCTTTTCTTGATGAGGTTACATCAAAATAAACACAGTATACAAACGTTGGTGTCATTTAACAATAGTCAGTTTAGCCTCCTTTTAAATAGTCCATTCTCTTCAGACTTTGTGATGGGTTTTAAAGTCATTCCACTTTTTCCATATACCTTGTCAGCAGATTGTGGTAGTCTCAAATTGTGTGTAAAGTTCTCCATATCATGTAGTTTTGTGTCCAACCAGTTTCTCCGAGTGGGGGGGTCCTCCTTACACCACTTTCTTGTTATAGCTTTCTTTGATGCCACCAGTAGTATTCCAGCCACGTAGCTGTCTTTGCTTTGTATAGTGTGTTAAATTTCCCAGATACAGCACTTCACAAGTCTTGGGAAGTTCATAACCTAAAATTGCTTTCATTCCTTTCCACACTTCATCCCAGTACTCAGTCTTTTTCACACATTGCCAAAAAACATGAGGGTGATCAACATCATGTTCCCCACACTGTCTCCAGCAAGGCTGTGGGACAAGTGAGAATCTTCCTTGAAGTTTTGGTGTGGTGAAAAGTCTCACAATATAGCCTTATATTTTATCTTATTCTATTTAAGTAGTCATCAGGAGCTCCGCTGTTTTTACTTTTCTTCTGTCAATTATTTTGCACCAGAGAGTCAAATGTGTAAATGCACTCTTTCATAAAAAACGTTTCTGGTTTATCGTTTAATATTTGCATAAATCTTAGTAAAGAAATAACTTTCTGTTTAGTTCACGGCTTCTTCTTTGCTGGAAGTATTTTCACTCTCAACAGAAACAAATTTAAAACTTAAACTTTTTTTTATCCCTCAGAGCTGCAGAGTATCTCAGGACCAGAACTGAACGAGACCTGCGCGCTGCTGGACCACTTCCTGGACAATCTCAACTTCCCTCTGCTCAGCACTATCAGAATCGGCCAGAGTACGTATGCTAAGTAGCATAGGCAATGTATTCTATGTAATGAAGTGGATTCTGGAGGCTAAACCTGCTGTGTCCCACCAGCAGCTGAGGGAGACATCAGCAGGAGAGGGGGTGACTTCAGAGACAACTACGATCTGAGCACTCTGACATTGGAGACTGTGGCGCCGTGGGCGGACTCTGAGTATCTGTCTGACAATCAGTCTGACAGCGAGTTCAGCTCCTCCTCCAATAGTCAGTATTTTTCCTCATGTTCCTGAACTGAACCCAGACTTTATGTCTCCATTTCTCATATTTTCTGTCCTTTTGATCCCCTCTCGCTCCTCTTCAGGTGGCATGTTTGGCTTCTCTAACCTCGACTCTCCAGAGTCCGGCAGTGGTGAATCAGACCCGGAATTCTCCTACCCCCCTATTTCCAGTGAGTAAACAGGAAGAGTCTGAATGAGTTTATTTGGGCTCTTTAGGTCTCAGATTAATATCTGACACATTTATGTTGTGTTGACAGAGGCTAACATCAAAACAGAGAAAGGAGAGTGTCGCGTGAAACGGCCTCGGGGCCGACCTCCTAAAGTGAGCAGAGAGCACAGCAGCAGCCTTTATGAGAATCCAAAGAAGAACAAACATGGTGAGATGTTTGGATTGTATAACACACTTTATGTAAAGCAGAGTTTCAAACACTTCTGTACCTGAACACTGCTCAGCTATGACACTTTGCATCTTTATCAGCCCACAGATATATGTCTCAGTTACAGTTTGACATCCACAAACACACAAACACACTTTAGCTGACTGTGTACTCCGTCTGTGTGCAGCTCCTCGAGGCACTCACCTGTGGGAGTTCATCAGAGACATCCTCATCCACCCCGAGAGGAATCAGGGCCTGATGAAGTGGGAGGACCGCAGAGAAGGGGTCTTCAAGTTCCTCAAGTCTGAGGCCGTGGCTCAGATGTGGGGCCAGAAGAAGAAGAACAGCAGCATGACGTACGAGAAGCTCAGCCGGGCCATGAGGTGAGTTCATGTTTCTTCTAAAAAAGAAGAGCAAATTTCTATGCTCTTCATCTTCGACACAGAAAACCTCACCGATTAATAAGATTAGATTATACAATGAGCTACGGCAGGCAAGAGGGTATCATACCTTGTGTCTTAAACCAGGCCTAACTGATCCCTCCCCCCTCCTCAGGTATTACTATAAGAGGGACATCCTGGAGCGGGTCGACGGCCGGAGGCTCGTCTATAAATTTGGGAAGAACTCAAGCGGCTGGAAGATGGAGGAGATCAGCATGTGAGATATCGAGCAAGAAGAAGAAATCCTCATGTGATCTGAAAACAGAAAACTTTGTTTAAGACACAAACTTCCTGTCAGACGGAAGGTGTTACAGAAAATGTAAGCCAGTGTTTTTGGCTCTAGTAGGTTTTATGAACCAATATTAACGTTGAAATGTTTTTTTTATTTTGATTTGAATCCCTAGAGAAACAGGGACATTGTTTTGGATGCTTGTGAGTTTCTGACCCACAGGAGGATAAAAAACGTTTTATTTGTACAGAAATCTCTCCGCTGGTTGAAGTCTGAATGATTCCTCATCAGCACCATGTAGTCTGTTCTAGTTTACAGATATTAATGACCTTGAAATTATCTTTTTGTACTTTGATACAGCGTGGAAATATGTGTTTTTTTAGTCTTCTGGTAAACTGAAGGACAGAGATGAATGTCTGCATCACGTTGATTTAGTTACGATGTGCACTACATGTCTTCAAGTATCACTTATTATAAAGTGTGTCTACAATGACAAGAAACTTCTTCACCTTTGTTATGAATCAGAAATCTGTAGCACGTTGTTTGTGCGATTGTGATTCACTTAGGACGAAATCTTCAATGTGTGTGGAATAAATCTTAAAATACTTTAAA